CGGTTCCCAGAAGCCCGTTCCCAGATTCCCAGAAACCACTTCCCAGAGACCATTTGACCCGCGTTCCGATCCGAATCCGCGTTCCGAAACGAGCTGAATTCGCGTTCCAAATCGAGGCGGAGGCCTCTCCGCAGAGGGTTGCGCGCATATGGGACAAATAGCACTCTCGCCTGCATGTCGCGCACTCGACACGCACGATCTCCGCAGAGGGTTGCATTTTCGGTTGACGCTGTTCGTCCCACCCTCCGCCTTTAAACAGAATTTATAAAGTGGGCAAATGTTTTTCATTAGGATATCTCCCGTTAAAGTTTTTTCAGTACTCACATTTGCATACTTGCACTGGGATACTTACACTTGCGTACTTGCACTTGGATGCTTTCACTCTTACACTTACAATGGGATACTTACACTTGCATACTTTCACTTACAAACGTTCACTTGGATACTTATGTGCCATTGTGAGTATAGAAGTGTAAGTGTTCAAGTGTAAGTGTAGAAGTGTAAGTGTTCAAGTGTAAGTGTATGTAGTGTTCAAGTGTAAGTGTAGAAGTGTCAGTGTTCAAGAGATTTTCCGGAAGAACCCTTCGCAATGCTTTCGGGAAGAATCTTTGTCATAATTTATCTTGATAATAAAAGCAACTGTCTTTGAGAGTCTGAGCACATTGCAGCACTTCAAACAACTTCGAGGAACAGGTAGGCGCTTTGCAGCGAAGGACTCGCGGCCTACATACCGAGATTCCCACCAATACGCCAGAGTTTGCAGGTTTAACTCCAAGGTTGTGGCTTGTGCTCTTCAAGAGCAACTTGCGGTCCTCTGCTGGTAGTGCTTTGACCTTGCCATCCAAAGCAGTTGTAAATGTAGGACAGCAAGTCATCACGTTGCGAACAACCCGTAGGTACATTATCCCAAAAGCAATTGACAATTGATAACCTCTGTATCTAGATTTCAACTAAGAGCATGTTCTTCATTGACAACCGTCAAGTACAACCAATTCTGCATCGCAGTCGATTCTGATGTGCAAAAGGACCTCAAAAAATACAACTACAGCACACCCACTGAGTTGCGCACTGCTGCAGAAGGTACGAGACCAAACGAAGCATTCTTGGGGTTTGCCATGAATGCATGAAGGAATGCCTTGCAAATGATTGAAATTTGGAGAAGGCTCGGTGAATGCTATTGATCTGCGCTGCGTTCAATTCTGTGGCCATGAACTTTGCAAACAAGCACGATGGAACAAGAGTGACAAAAAGTAGTTGGATATATAGGTGAATAGCTCAGCTCGCTAAAAGCTCACAAAAGCTCCATGGCGGCATGAACGAGGGTGTGGCATATGTTTTTGAACCTCCGCAATCTCATACGAATAAACGCACATGAAAACAGTGACAAAGCTCTGTTTCTCCTGCCGACAGATTGATCATCCTTGAGTTGACTATGCAAATCACCACCCAAAAGCGCTCTTCGGCCAACATCTCGTGGCTGCTGGTTCCATTCCAGCAGCTGCCAAAGGCGTGTGTCTGTGTCTTCTGTGCACTCTCTAAGCTTTGCCTAGAAAGCCCCAGGACTTGGCGATTTGAAGGGAGCTTTAGTGTTGCTCCAATTTCTGTGCACTGCCAAAATCCAGCAGAGGTTTCTATCATTTGCCTGCAAAACCAACACATTGCCTTCACCTTCTTGTAAGGGCTTTGAAAGCAAACTCTGGTGGAGCTTGGCCACAAAAGCCGTGCGAATTCCTCGCCGGCATTGGGAATTTGAATTTTGACCTTCCCCTCTACGAAGAAGGGAGCCTTCTTCAGCTCAAATGGACACACTTGTTCCATCTACATGCGTGCAAATGATGGTGTAGTTCGATGTTGCCACAGCCTCCTTCACTCAACATATTCATGTTTTGGAGCAAAAAGAACAAGGAAAAGTGCCTCCGGTTTCTCAGCCGCCTCTTCTTCGATGGCCTCATTGGCTTTTCTTGCCTCAAAAGTGGACAGCTTTCCAAAGTCAAGTGTTGGGGATGGGGCTATATTTTAAAACTATGAAGACAAATGATTCGAGGGCCTGCGTTGGCCAACTGAGGAACGTTGGCCAACTGAGCCAGTGCTGTCGTATTCTTAAAGTCCTGCCTCCTCAGCTTTTTCGCGTTTCCTTTGCAGCCGCGCTTCCTTGCGGTCCTTTAGCTTCTCTTGCCTTGGAAGCCAACCTATTCAATTTGTTTTAGCTGTTCAACGCCCTGTGTTTCAGGTCATGGCTTGACCCGCTTCATGTCCCTTGGGTAGGACCAGTGCAGCAAGGAGTAAACAATCCTTAGCACAAGGAGTCACAATGAGGTATCTCGTGACAGTCAGACGACTGGGTGACTGGGGTTCAGACAAGCAAATGAGCCATGGGGTAAAACATGTCAGTGTCAATGCCTGAACAAGCATGAAGTGGTTCATCTCCCAGGCATTTCTCAATAATGCACGAACACGTCTCCTTCCGAAGACTCGGGCCGAGGCCTTTCCCAGTGCTCGTCGGCTCTCTACATCCACCGTGGCATGCTCGGAATGCTCCAACCTGCGTTGAGGCAAATGAGAAGCAAATGAGTTGAGGCAAGACTGGCAGAACTGTTGTATCGTGTGGATCCTGCTCCAGAGCAAGATAGGGTTAGCTTTGCAACCCAGCAGTGGCTGTCGCAAGGTTTATAGGTGCAATTTTGCGGCGTTGCATGACAAATGGATTCAATTGAAACCAATTTCGTTCAAGCACATGGAACAATTCAACTTGGCCTGTATCCAAACACGTTCTCTGCCAGAAAGCCGACCTGCAATGTTCAGTCGGCTTGGCATGGCTCGGAAGGAGTGTTTGGAAAGGGCTGCCGGGTCCTCTTAGGTCCAGACCATTGCATTTCCAAGGATGCAAGCAAATGTGCTCTCCAAAGCAGATTCCCAAGCCAAAATTGTTGATCTCCCTTCAGGACGTACCTGACAACGACAAACCTGCAACGCGCAAAATTCCTGCTCCCCGCTCTGAGGGCTCCACAATTTCAGTCAGGATCGGCAGGTTCACACCTACACCACCTGGCAAAGACAGAAGCACTTGATGCAGCTCCTTCAGCCAGATTCAGAGGGTTGCAAAGCGTGTCTTGTCAGGCGCAGAGTGTCCCTTGGGAACAGGTTGAGGCTCGCACACCAAGTTGCCATGAGCCCCAAGAATATGACTAGCCTGAACAAAGCAAAAAAATTCAAAAGCAAACCCCAGCCGAACAGAATCTGAGTAGAGCAACCCCATGTAGTAGAAGAATGCAGTGTCACCTGCACAGCATTTTCCATACGCATCAAGCTCTTCTGGACTGTAGCCCGCCTTCAGGCGGGTCGACCATAAAGGTCAAATAGGCAACTGGAATGCCAGCCCTGGATACAAGAATAACAATACTGCCCAAATGCACAAACGAGAAATGCACGAACGAGCATGTGGTTCTGACAAATGCCGAATTTCATCAAATTGATATGATGATTGATAATGTTCGATATGCTAATCTAAGTATATTGCATTACCAACATCATGTAAATTGCTTGTGCATACTGCAATCATTTGCTATCCACAATAAAGTCAAATTCCTTTGTGGACCTGGCAATGTGCTACTTTTTTGAGGTACAGGCGTGACGGAGATCTGCGCGGTGAGAGGCCGACCATGAAGTGGACAGCTGCGCGAAAGGCGATCTCCGATCAAGCCTGCTGACTTCCAGACATACAACTCCATCAAACATTTTCGTATAATAGTATAAACCATTCAAACATGTTTCCATATTGATTTGCAAGTCTCGATGCCTCCCAAAATGCCACCAAAGCCACCAGATGCCTGACCCAACGCTGCCAAAATTGCAGCTTTGGCCTTGGTAAGTGATGCTTCAGCAAACCCAAACAAAGCTGGAATCGTCCAATCCGCTTCGTTTTTGCTTTGTACAGTAGATGCGCCAAGCTCCCCCACATCTCCAATTCCTCCAACTTGATAAAACAAGGTTGCATAGCCCATGGCATTCCAAGGAATGCCCCCAAACCTGGCTTTCTAGAATTTATTGAGGCCATCTCTGGCCGATCTCCAACCTCTACATTCAGAACCTGAGATCCCGGCCATCCCTGAAAAATCAAAGCCTCAATGAGGAGCGACAACTGGAATGGAGCAACCAGAGCCAAGGTGAGCCAAGGTAAGCCAAGGTGCACAGAATGTCGGCATACGGAAGTAGCTTAGCAGCTTCTTCAGCTCTTGCCTGGTGTATGGCTATACCCAGTTGCCTTCCTTGCTTCCTGTGTTCCTTCATCTTCCTTTCCAAGTTTCGGACTTCATAGCACTCCGATCCTGGACGAGGAACAATGGGAGTGGATCGGACATCGGGTGTTGTGACAACTGCTGATTCCTGGTTCTGGCATTCTATCACTTGCAAGCAACACTTGCAAGCTCCTTATCTTGTGCCATAGACCTTTCCCTGGGCGGCTCTGTCATTGTGCAGGCCTTGCTGAGGGAGTTTGACATACGTCCATGGTCAACACCAGCTCTGAGACAAGCGCTGCAAATATGCCCACCAGAACTGAAAGGGAGCCGATCCCAATGAAGGCAACGCGCCAACCCTGGTGAAACACATAGCGAGCACATGCAAACATCGAAGTGAAATAAAACAAACCTTCGGCGAGTTCTCACCGCACCTGGAAGCCAAGCACTACTTGCGTGGAGAGTGGAGTGCCAACCAAACCTCCAACCTCGGAAGCAAAAAGTCCAATCTTCCACATCTTGCAGCAAGAATCCAAAGGGCCCATGCCATGAGTCCGCAATTCGTACAAAATTGCACAACACCATAGACCTCGTCGATTCAAAGCTAAGAAGAAAAGCATGAGCATCTTGCCAGGGCTTAGCATGGCTTCAAAAGCACTTATTGTTATGAATTGGCGGATAGGGCTACCTGGTCTAAAGTTCTTTAAGCTGCTTTGCTGATTCATGAGCGCTGTGTTTCGCTGAGGCTCTTGTGTCACTTCAGGTCACTTTCAACCCTTTGTACCACTCGATCTAAGTGTTCGACTTTCCCCCTTCTTTGTTCCGAGGTCACATCAGCAATGATCCCACTTGCCACTGGCCGCAACGAGGCAAGTAGTGCCCCTGGCAAACTGACTGGTCTCAAGTCAAAAAGAAAACCTTTTGCTTGAATCAAGCGCTCTTGTGAAGAAAAGGGCAAGCAAGCCCGGTCAATGTTTGTAGAACGGCAAGCCTGTTGATAGGGTAATTCAATGAGGCCATGCAAGGCCCAGTTGAGGCCGTTTAACACATGCTCTTGAGGACCATTCAAGGCTCGAAGCAATGTCATCCCCACCATCCTTTGCAGGAAAAGACACTGCATGATAAAAGAAAATAGAAAAGCTCGAAGTACGTTACCAAATTGTGTTGTGCAAAAACAGCAAAGTTAACAACACAACCTCAAGCGAAAAGCAGACCGCAAAACGCGTGGCGAACCCAGCAAGCCATTCCGCCGAGCATCTGGTCAATGACGGACAGAAGCATGGTCACCAGTCCCTGCAGGACACAGCCCATGACGATGATGTGCTTCCTGCCACGCAGGATGCCAAAAAGCTCGTTGAAATCTGGCATTGAGGTTTGACGCAGTATTTATAAACATACACATACAAATACATCCAAGTAAAGCTGAACCTGCGATATGATTTGTCAATCAAGCTGGATAGCCCACATCGCCTCTTCATAATGCCCCTATCAGCCAGGATGCCCCAAAAAGGAGCAACAGCGGATGTCGTCACACCCTGCAGCGTAACATCTTCACCAAGTGACGTGTGTATGGCACAAAAAAGCCTTGCAACACAAGCCTGAATGAGGGTCATGGTGGCCAGGTCTTGCAAGTGAAGGCCCAAATCCCTTTGAAGTGCATAGAAGACGGCCTGAGATCCATCTGCTTGTTTTGGAGATTGGTTTGTTCCAAGAGTAAGCAATCTAAGGAGCCAACTGGCAGCAATGCCATGTCTGCTCCCTCTAACACGCTGACCAAGCAAAGAGAGCTCAGCAGCAATGGGCCCTCAGCATGAAAGGATTTGTTTAAAGGCCGCTCGGCCCTCCAACCTAGAAGCGATGGCCTCCAACCTATACATATATATATATGTGTGTGTGTTATATATCTTGAAAAGGATGCTATGGAGTCACAAAGTTGCCTGCACTATCCTGCACTGGACTTTGAACAACTCCCACTTTGGCTCAAAATTATTTGGACATTCATCTGGCCTTTTGTGATAAGGATTTGTCCAAAAATAAAAATACTACTTATCTTGGGCTCATGTGTTGCTGGATCACTCTTGCAAGCAAATCCAAACCTGACCCAAACCAACATGTACATGACAATCCGTGTCAGAATTCCCGAATTCCTGATTTCAATTTAGTTAGCTGCTAACCAAGTGTGCCTTCAATATGAGAATATATTCAATATGTGGTTGTAGTTGGTGGATATACAGCCAGGCCAATCCTGGTGTCTTGGAGGTTCTAAAACTTATGTTCGCTTCTACAGCTAGTAACCAGGTGTTCCAAGTTTGGGGGGGGGCTTCTGCAAATGTCTGTGCGTGTCACAGACTTTTTTCAATTTGCTCGAGTCGTGGCTTTTGGCCTAGTCATCCCCAACAGGTGGCTGTTGGTGGATGTTCCAATCATGTTGCTTGGAGAAAACGTGCTTTGTTTGCTTCGTGAATGAGTTTGCACTCGCGTGTCATTTCCAATAGAACGTCACTGTCGCGAAAGATTATGACACTCCCTAAAAACTCACGTGGAAGTAGGCGGGTCTTCCGGTTGGCAGGCATGGACCCAACAACTTGACAGGATATTGCTTTAGGAAATTAAAATAAGTGCATGAAGTGCATGCCATGTTATGACTACATACAAGCTATGAGTTATATAATATGTATGTTGCAAACATGGCTTGTTCGTGTGAGAAGTTTAGTGGCGGTACATGATGTTCATGTTTTGTCTTGCGCGATGATCGCATGTCCCTCTTGGTTGTGAGCTCAGCATGTCGCTTCCTTGGCATTTCGGATTCAGACATCGATGTTAGCTTTTGCGCGAGAAACAATTTCGCATTCGCCTGTGCTTGCTTTGCTTTGCTTGTGCATTTTGGGGAAGCCTTCGTTTGGTTTTGACCCCCTCTTTATCTCGGTTGCGGAGGGTGGCTCCCTCCACCACATTGGTAGCGGAGCATGAGGGGAAAGATATAGGCTGCGACCTGCTTCCCTTGTGCCCCATGGCGGATGCCATGGGATCGCATGCAGCGGCGTCGGCTGCTGGCGCGGCAGCTGTGGTGGGTGCAGCTGCGATGGCAGCGGCTGCTGTGCCCCTCCCAGCGGAGGATCCATGGGTTCGCGCTGATCCATGGCGAGGTGATGGACACCCTGCCGGAGGCCATGACGGGACGACTTCGGGGAGGACAGAAAAGGGTTCTACCTCAGCGGATGCGTCCATAGATCGTGCACTCCGAAAGGGAAAAGGAAAAGGGGGGAAACAGAAGAGTAGTGAAGCTGAGAAGATGACACCTGTTCCCCTACAGACGACAGGGAATGAACTCCCACCGAATGAGACACCACCGACCTCACCTCAGACAAGTCAGCCTCTGGTGATATTCAATTCACCGGATATGGTTGGACCGTGTGGAATGCCAATGAGCTTTGGACCATCATGTATGTCTGGAAGCGGTGCACCTCCAGGGTTTTCACCAATGAGTATGCAGCATGTCTCCACATGTCTCCACACACGGTGTACCACCTGGTCCATGCGTACCACATAGTCCATGTGTACCTCTTGGTCCTTGTGTATCTCCTGGCGCTTGTGTATCACATGGTCCTTGTTTATCACATCATCCTTGTCTACCACATCCGATGGGAGCAACGATGCCGAGCATGCCTCTCAATGGACTGCATGGTGCATATTTAGGCAATGCACCACCAGTGGCATGGATGGGATATGGACCATGGCAGAATGTGGGAGCCGTGCCACAAGAAGGCTCTGGAGCGGACTCTTGGTCAAAGCCGTCGATTCCGCCCTCTCAGCCCAACACCTCCGGATCCATCACGACCTAAACCAACGAAGAAGGACAAGAAGAATGTGAAGGACAAGGAGGCCAAGAAGACATCAACGGCACCGGAACCAGATCCATCTGATCATGATGAAGAGGATGGAGGTGAGTCACAACGCTCTTCAACAGCTGCCACCTCAGAGATCAAGTCGTTGTTGAGGAGGAGGATGCGTCAGGAACAAAGCTATCGTCCCAAGTCCTCACTGGGTTCTGTCCGCATTGAGGAGTTCTATGGAGATCGAGGCCGCTTCCTGAAGTGGAAACGAACGATTCAGGCCCAGCAGCACTTGTACAACTTAGAGGGCAACGAATTGGCCATGTTGATCTACCTTTCAACGAAGAAAGAGGCCAGGGACGTGGTGGAGCAGTATCCTTTGTCCTGTTACACTGAGGCTGGAGGTTTGCACTTGCTATGGAAGGTCTTGGACGAGTCCTTCGGTGAGTCAGAAGCCGAACTTTTTGAGAGAGCCGACAAGGAATTCCAGCAGTGCAGAAGACAACCTGGGGAGACGGTGGCCCACTACCTGGCAGAGATGAGGAGGTTACGAGCTCAACTGGCCCGGGTAGATCCAGACAGCAAGATGAGCGATCGTGCCTGGGGCCAACGGCTTCTTCAACGTGCCTCCTTGACTAGGAGGGAGAAGCATGACGTGTACTATTCAGCCGGTGCCTGTTTTGATCCTCTCTCCATTGAAAAGGCCCTAAGACTTCGTTGTGGAAGGATCCATGAAGAAGAGAAGCGGGGCACCTACAAGAACTATGAAGATAAAGGAGGAGGAGGAGGAGGCAAGAGCAGACCGAAGGGCCACTACTTCAAGAAGAAGATCATTGTGAAGAAGGCCCATCATGCACATGTGGCTGAAGGATTGGACGAGGAAGAAGCATTAGAGGAGGATGGACAAGAGCAAGAGGAAGATTCGAAAGCATGTTTGACCCTGAACCCATCCATTCCAACTCCATCTCAATGGAGCATACTTTGAGATTTCCAAAGCCAAAGCACTCATGGCTGAAAGAGTGGTGCACAAAAGGAAGCGGGCACAGGAAAATGAGACCGGTGTGTCTTGATCCAAACGTAGAACATCTTTGAATCCGACTATGTCACAAAATCACACATTCAGTCCAACACATTCAGTCCAACAGCACCTTCCCAAAAGGCCCAGGCCTTGGCCAATGTCATGGTCATGTTGACAGCAACCTGCGCATAGACGATCGCATATTGGATATTATTGGGGTCCACGTCCTCAGGACCACGGGTGAACTTCTCTAAGGACTGCATGAAGACACTTTGGCCACCAGCAACGAGGTCATCTGGTCGAATTGCAAACTCACAGATTGGCCTAACCTCTTGGAGGCACAAAGTCAGAGTCTCTTTGGAGATAACGCGGCCACCCAAGGACTCGATGGGCTTTTCAGCTCTCACACACTTGTCGAGTTTCTGCAGGAAACGAGAAAACGATTCCTGATCAGAGGCATACTTTCTAAGAAAAGCCATCAACTGAAGTTGTTGTTCATTCTGCTCCTGGCCAAAGAATCTAACAGTTGAACAGAAAACTCAAGAGTATCAGGATGTTAATGGGCTAATTGTTTACTGGAGGTGACTTGAGACATGAGAATTGAACGATCATCAAACTTGGGAATCCACAAAGAAAACAAAAACAACAATCAGTCCTCATTGTCCACCCTGGGGACTATGAAGGGCACCACTGGACCAGCAGCTGCATTCGAACTGGCACTTCCCCCAGCGCCAGCCATTGGACGCTACACCCCACAAAAATGGCAAAAGTCAGGAAGGCAGTAAGGTTTCAGGAAATTAACTTTACTCCAGTGCAACATGTGGAACTGCTGAAATCAATAATGCAGTAACAAAAATGTGTTTTTAATTGCTCAGAATCGACGATTGGAATCAGAGTTGATTGTAGGGTACAAGCAGGTCATTGATTTAAGATACTAATAGTCAGTGTCCAGCACAAATAACAAAACCCACCAATTTGTAGCGCATCTCCTGACCTGATCTGGAGCCCAAAGGAACAACACTGCACCCTGCGCAACGCGCATCGCGCACATCGCGCGATTCCTGTTTTCCAAAAACCTGACCTTTTGCCTTTTCCCTTTTAAGAGAAAGTCCAGTCCAGTCTCCCAATTCTGAAATCTCCCAATTCTCACCCCCCCCAAAAAAATCCCAATTGCCAACCCAAATGAAAAAAACAAAAAAGTTGAGATAGCTACCAGTCCCGGAGATAGATACATGGTCCGTTTTTGTGACCCTCTGCAGGAAACATGCTACGTACCGCGCTCAATGCTACGTATCCATCTCAACTTTTTTGTTTTTTTTCTCTGTTGAGTTGACTGCGAGCGCGTTGATTTTGAGCGAGCACGTTGGAAGTCCATGGGACGCGGGACAGGCCGCATCGCGCACCGCGCTTACGCGCGATTCAGTCACTTCCAGATTCTTGAGGAGGCGACTCTTTAGATTCCCCAGTCAGTTCTACACTCTCTTCCGGTTTCTTGGAAAAAAACTCACAATCCAGCACCTCCAAGTAGGTGTCCTGCTTGTTTTAGTGATGACTCTGGAGCAGCACCATCTTAGAAACAAATCAAACACCTACCAAACATATCTTCAAGGCCAATTGAACACTGTACTTTTGATTGTCTCCCAACCCCTGTCCAGGTTGTCGAAGATACCTTTCATGACCATGGCTGCACTCATCCTGCCAGTCCATTGCATTTGCTGGAAGATCTTGCCTCCCTCTGGGCTCTGGGTCAAAAATGCACTGGGAGGCTTCTCCGGATCAGACTTTTTGAAGTCACAAACAGCATGCAACAATTCAGCTGGAGTACGAAAGCCATTGCCAGCAAGCGCTTTCGAAAAGAGGGCGATGTCCTCACTGCAGTGAAAAAGAGGGGCCACAAGCATCCCACGCAAGCATCCCAAAGCACCCCAAAACATAACACAAGTAAGAATAAGACATTATATAGAAACTCCAACACTGTCAAGTCTCTGCTTGGCTCTTGAAGTTGTTGTGGATCGGCTCACCGAGCATTTCCAGCAACTCATCGCTCACACTGTTCTGGGTGTTGGTCTTAGAGCTCTCAGGAGTAAAACGCGAACCAGGACCACTGAACAGATCCGAGTCATCATGCGCCTTTCCACCAGGAATCCTCTTTCCACCAGGCAAGAAGTCTGACATATGATAGGTCGAAGAGTCATCCCTCTCAGCCGAGCTTTCAGACTTGCCTGACAGTGAACCACTTGGCGAAGGTGACCTCTTTCGTTTCCTCTCCGAGGAATCTCTCTTCTTCTCCTTTCTTGACTTCTTCTTCTTATCCTTCTTCTTTTTCTTATCCTTCTCATCGTCCCTCTTCCTCTTGCCAAAGAACTCACCAATGTCACGACCGCCGCTCACCCTCTCATTGAAAGTGTTCATGTCCTTGGCAGCAAGCGATTTGAACTCCTGCATCTTCTTTGAAACGTCTGTTGCAAGGCCTGACTTGCTTTTCAAGCGGTCATGGATCTTCTGGCAGATCGACTTCCTCAGGGCTACCAGGCTCTCAAATTGCACAATGGTCGTCTTCGCATTCTTCTCCGCCAAAATCCTGAACGTGAAGCCACTATCAAAAGGATTTTGGACTATTGCAGCAATGCTTATTAGTATTATAGTCTGGACTTGACATAAACACGGCACAAACAGATCACCAAACACTTGACATAAGCATGTTATGCACCAAAACAGTCAAGGAACTGCACCAGTTGCAGCAGCCTGCCCTTCCAAGTAGACTCAGCAGCTGTCTCAATCTGCACGGATCGACTTCTGAGCAGCGAGGTCAGATTTGTCCGACACTGCCTTCATCTTGCTGGTCTCACGACGCCGAATAGCCAACATCTCACCTCCAGTCTCAAAGAGGTCTAGCACCGAAAGGCCTGAAATTGAAGCATGGGGAGAGGCAACGATGAAGGCCAGCTGCTCCTGAGATCAGCAAAGACCAGTAAGACCACCACAGACTGAAAGAGTCCTTGAACTTTGAACCTTGAAGCCTTGAGCTAACTGACACCAACAAATAAATCTACTCAAAGAATTGCCAAGCATCTGCTGCAAGGTCTTCAAATTTGATCATGTCCTTGAGCTTCAAGTGCTTGGCCTTCAGAGAAAGCTGCAAGCCAAGTTCTTGTAGAAATTCTTCGGAATCAGGCTCTACATCACTGTCTGAAGACGAGGTAGACCGCTTCTTGTTCTTTTTTTTGTCCTTCTTCTTGTCCTTCTTATCTCCCTTGGCAGACGAGGACGGACATTCAGAAGCAAGGATCCGCTGCGCCATGGAAACCTTCATGTCCTTCAACGAGTCAGCCAAAGCACTCTCCATGGCTGAAGGTGCATCCGATGGTGGACGGGTGGATCCACCATCACTGAAGTCAAGCTTCTTCTTACCAGCCATGCGAATGGCAGGTCTAACAATCATACAATTCGAGAGCCCCTGGAATATCATGTCTAGAATAATAAGCCAAAAAGATCAAAAATGAATGAACGATTCAGCAATTGGCACTCCACTCAAAGCATACTCACAGAAAACCAACCCCAACCAACCCCGAGAGCCACTGCGAATCATTGTTACAAAGATCCAATTTTTCATCAGAGGATTACCGGCTGCCTCCATCAATTGTGCGCTTTTAAGAAAGCGTCTTCCAATTATAGTCACTTGTTCAGTCCTCACTCAATCTCTTGTGAGCAGATAGCCAAAAGCACCAAAGCTTCAGAAAATAAGCTTTGCTTCGATTCACTCACTGTCCTGCGCTCAACTCTCACAAGTCAGCACATGAGGGAATGCAGTACTGTAAGAGAAAGCAAGTTTCAAAGAAAGTCGACGTGAAGTGAAAATCGACGTAACGTGTCAGCACACTTTTTCGAAGGTAGTTGCAGGTGGAACAGCAACCTGCCAGACAAGGGAGGCGCAGGCACCATCAACACCATCTGGACGCAAAACAAAGTAAAACAAATCACTTGTATGAATGAACTTCAGCTTTTTTAGACTCCTCCCCGAAATCTGCTCCCCGTGTCCATTTAACACGGCTCAAAGACAGCTCGACAAAAGAACAGCACTAGAGAACCTGGTACTCCAGAGCATTCGCAAGGGCAAACAGCTATTGAGAAATAATTACCAAATCACCAGCAGCACCATTGTGAGACACACAGCCACCATCATCGTGATCCAGAGACCCACCAACATTCTTGGTGGAGGCGCCCTCATCATGAGAACTTACAGTACACTCCAAGCTTTGCCTCACTCTCTTCAGCCTTGCTCCCAAATCTTCACTTTTAACATCTCCTCCAAACTGCCATTGCCGACCAAGAGCAAGCCCATCCAACATCGATGTGAACACCACTGCGCTGAGCACTGCCTGGGTGTCACATTCACACCCCTCGTCACACTGCTCCTGCGAATCTGGAGAGCTGGGTCTGCTTCTGCTGCGGCTCCGAGACATGGCAAGAAAGAGGTCAGACCATGGAAAACAAACTGGCTGGCTGCTGACTCTGAGAGAAACAAGCAAGTGAGTGACAAATAATGCAGAGATGAACTTAGCACCACTGCAGTTAGTTCTACTTGCTCTTCGAAGAGATGTCAGAACAAATCTCGCCTCTAACAAATGAAGAAGTTCCCAACATGGTTGGACCTGGAAAGCAATTCAAAGCATTATATGCACACATGCCAGGGATCAATTCAAGCACTCATTGGCACATGTCATCTCAATCCCTGGAGGGATCTCTCAACTGATATATATATATATATGAACATGGTTCCAAAGTTGACGTCAGACTGAAGAACTCAACAGCCAACAAGCAACGCCTCAAAAGGCTCGGAGATGATACGAAGTAGGTTCCCACTCCTTTGCAAAATTGATTGACACAACACCCCACAATGCTCATACTGCTGGAATTCCAACCAGAACGCGAAAAGAGTGTACCCCGTGCACACCTCTGCCAAAAGTTGTCAGCTAACCCCTGAAGGAGGACACCTCAGCAGGCTCACCAGTTTCACATGAGCCAAAACTCATTCACTGCTACGTTTTGTGAAAGGGAAGAAGGCATGTAGATGCAAATGCACGCAATGTGGATTCACAACAGTGCACTGCTTGATTTTGAATTTAAATTAACAACCTACCCTTTTCCTGGACCAATGTCTGTCCAGTCTCAAGCCTCTACTGCTAATACAGTCAACCCACAAGGCGCTTACCACCGTGCCGCAAGGTCAAAGATCCAGATGATAGGAAAGCGAAGCCCAGTCCTGGAAATTGCATTTTGAGCGAAGCCCATGTCTAAACAAAAGAAACGCAAAATGCCATGACAAGAGTCTCACAGTCCACTGTCAGCTAACCTCATTCTAAAGTGCACGATAAGACCTCAATCATATCTATATAGAAAAGACCAATGATTGGACATGATTGGCCCCAACCTTTCCAAACCCTGGAGCACGTTCAGTTCCAGGATGCCTTAAATCCTTCCTGTGCTCGGCGAAGCTTTCAAAACAGACTCACAAGCAGCGTGGCAGGATGAGGCCCCAGCAAACATCGGGCATGCAGAACCACTGGAATGACCTGCCAATGGTGCCACGTGCATGTAAGACTCAGAGTGTCTCACAAAGTTTCATACTGCTACATCAGCCACAAATTGCCCACCTTGGCAACAATCTTCATCTTGGACATTGCAGCCACACGGAACCTGTAGCATCTACACGAGCTGACAACAGCCCTCTTTGAAGATGAAGATCCATGTCAGGAGGAGGACCCTGACCAAGAAGAGGAGGGCGAAGATGATGATGGAGACCTAGATGAGGAGGACCTGAAGGAGATCTTCGCGGCAGGCTGGAAAGCCAAACAAAAGACAGCAGAAGTGAGGAAAAGCAAAGGATGGAAGCCAATGACAAAGACAGATGCAGGACAAGATGTGAGCAAGAATGGAAAGAGCCTGGAAGCCAAGAAACGCCTGAGCACGTGTTCCTCGTGCGGGAAGCAAGGTCATTGGCGAGGAGACAGCTGCTGTCCAAATGTCATCAATGGCAGAGATCGACCGCATGTGCCGGGCAACAAGAAACCGGCGCAGACTGTGCACTTTACGTTCATGACGGAAGGAGCAGAAGAGTCGGACTTGAAGCCGGGTCAATGCCCAAAATGCAGATGGCCTGTACCCATGGGTCAGAAATTCTGTGGGCAATGCGGACTGCGACAAGAGGTCGAAATGAACATGTCAGAGAGGAAGAGAGTCATACGAAGCTTGGGATTTGGTTGATAAGGCAAAGGAGACATCACCAAGTTTCAGCTTCGAGGTGACAAAGGAAGCAGCCAGAGCAGCTGTAGCTATGGAAGATGGTCGGCCACACCCAGGGAAGGTGAAGTTGCAGACGAAGGAAGTCATGGCTGCATTGCCCAACATGTCACGACAAGAAAAGAAGGATTTGCAGAAGGCATTGGTGAAGGATGAGGAGAAGGAGGCGGAAAGATTGTTGGAGTTGCATCGTCGCACCATGGAAGAGTATGGCTATGGCGGCTATGGAGGCCTACCAGACATGGCTTGACTTGGACCAACTGCAGACTTGGCAGGCAATCCCCTACCACGACACTTGATGGCAGGCTATGGACATGGTGAGCCAGAGTCATTGGGGATTCCAACAGGATATGCACACCTTCACTCATCCAGCAGCAGCACCCAGGGACCTATTGCACAACAACCAGTGCCACCAGGCAAATCCGACGGCTCAGAGCCCAAAAGTGTGAGAGATCGCAAGCTGGCAACATTCCGGAAGGACCTCTATGACCGTCAAGTGAGGGGAGATCGTCTCATTCCTTCACAGGCAGCCCCAGTGCCAACGGAGAAACAAGCTCTATGCAAGCATCCCTTTGATGATTTGAGGTGGTCAGCAAATCAGGACGGTCACTATGCCAAGTGTCGTTTGTGTGATCTCAAGAGCATGATTTTCTGGAGCTGCAAGCATGGAGTATTGATGGTCAATGTCCTGAGCATGTGCCTGAAGATACCAAGGTATGGGTGAGAGAGGAGAAGAAGAAGATGAAGCACCTGTGCTTGGTGAACGAAGGTGGACCATCAATGGACCAAGTGTGCTGGAGGATCACAAAAGACAAGAATGGCAAGATTCTATATGAGGATGACTACTCAGGAAAGATCATCCCATTGCAGAAGGAGCTGAAGGAAGCCCAACAGCTGATCACGGAGTTCTGGTACAAAGACACCCCACACACGGTGGAGGTATATGGCATCCAGCAAGAATCACCACATCTCAAGGTACCAGGACTCGCCATCGCGGATTCAGGATGTCGCAACTCAGTGGGAGGAATCCAATGGCACTATGTCATGCAGGAGAAGCTCAAAGAACTTGGAGTGCCTTGGATGGAAGTTGAAGAGAAGGAGACATATAAATTCGGGGCAGGAGCACCCATCATCAGCAAGAAGGCGTGCATCTATCCCGTCCGAATTCATGGACAATGGGACCTGCTTCGGATGTCAGTGGTGGACCAAGATGCTTCAACATGTCCCGGGCTGGTTGGACCATCAGACTTGAGCCGTTGGCAAGCTGTTTTCCGCTTTGGCCAGAAGGAGATTGAACTCAACGGAACCAGCAAGACCATGGTCTTGACTTGGACACGCCACCCAGGCATTCAGCTCGTGGAGTACTCCCCGAATGAGGTTGAGGAGGCTCTCAAGTATTGGCGTTCAGAAGAAGCACAAGAGAAGAAGACGATCCTGGTCGAATGTCCTCAGTCTCTTTCATTTGTTGCACAGCACGAGGAAGATGAGAGCTCAGAAGAGAATGAAGGACAAGAGGGCAGTGAAGAGGACGATCAGGAGCACAGAGAGAAGAGGAAGGCACAGTGGATGCATCATCTACAGCAGGATCTAGGAATGCAAGTGCAAGGAGATGAAACTGTGCCTGAAGAAGAGCTGGTGACCGAAAGTGGTGAGGGGGAAAGCGGAGAGGATTCCTCAACATCACATGAAGTTGGAGTTGAGGTCGTCTCAAGTGGTTCTGAAGATGACGAAGAGGCTGAACGAGAAGCAGAGAAGCGGGGTAATGACACCTTCATCACCTATGGTCAGAAGAGGCCCATGAACAAGCACCTGAGGAGAAGACTGGCAGCTCAAGCCAATGGCATTGCGGACTCCTATGCAGAAGAGAAGGGAGCTGATCCGAAGAGACAAAGAAGACAGGAACATGTCCAAGACCCCAGAGAGGCAGCAAAAGGAGCTCGCAAGACCAAGTGGTCAGTTTTGGAGGTGTTTACATGGACCTGCGCCATTTCCATCATGGCATCTGCTTGAGGGGGCTTTCATGAACCGGTGACTTTGCCTCGATGGGACCTCTGCCAAGAGAAGGACTACTGTGATGCCCTGGCCTATTTGGATCGAGTAGAACCAGATTTATTGGTC